TCAGTCCCTATAGCAAATTCTGCTTGGTCAGGGAAAATGAACTGCCTGGCGAGACAAATAGTTTTCAGTTTATTATACATTATTTGTGATTGAATGTAGGCTCTGATCAGAGATCAGGGCAAAGGGGAAAAGGTTCAGTGGGCGGTACTTTACATAGTAGTTCACGCTGGCCCAGTTTTCTTTCCACATTGCCTTAGCTTAGCACATTTTATAGTACTGATCACAGTAAAGTCTGCTTGGCTCTGTGTGTGGGGGTGGGGGGGGGTGGGGACATAATTGTGTGACCTATATGTATATCATAAGACATACATCACATATATCTTATGGATGAAACTTTTGGTTTGAATAATGTCCTGCCTACTGCTTGAAGTCACCAAATGAAACCATTTACTGTAATTTTAGATGTAATTTTAGTCTTTTTTTAGTTTAGTGCTTTCACAACAACCATTGCCACAAAGCGGTTTTACAGAAACCAGGATCCAAGAAAAAGCAAGAAAAAACTCCTTAAGAGCATGGACACTTGAGAAGGCTTTACTGGGTAGTAAAATTATGGTGCAAATAGTGCATGTAGGTTTCAGAAAAAAATCACTGAGGGTGCATCAGAGATAAATAGGGCTACATATCAGGAAAGTGTGAGGTATTTGTTCATGGTTAAAAAAAAAAGTTTATGAACTTACTGGAATATCCTATATCATAATTGTTTATTTGTGAACAACAAAAAAGCTTTGCGTGAATAACAAGATATAATTGTATGGTTGCACGCTGGGATATTCAGAAACTAATTAAAATAAAAATGGATGCATGCATGATAGTAAGCCTACTTGCTCTTTACATTTGATTAAATTCCCCAACGTTAGCAAACAGCTAGCATGCTAGTGACGGAAGACGCTAACTGCAGCATGATACTCACATTTTGGGCTTTATCCGATGAATAGACATGTAGATTAGTTCATCTTTGTACTACACTACCCGGGGCGTAAAGAGTTATCTGCATGTTCTGGCAAAGTTCTTAGCTAGGAGTTAGCTTAGCAGGTTGTCTAAAAATATTTTCCCCAAAGCTCTACCTTGTATAAGTGAGCCTAAATCCACATTTACAATTGAGATTAAACAGAGGCACAGTGACCAATGTTAAAAGACCACCAAATATCTGACAGAGTGATTGTGTTAGATACATACAGGGTGTTAAAACTGAGAATGGTATGTATAAAAGTTAATGATGATTGTAAGGTAGCATTAGCTTACAGGGTTAGGAGTTCATGCATTGGCTATCACAAAGCTCATTGCAGAAAGTTGAGAAGGATACAATGCTTCGCTATTCAATAAAAATCTTGAAACGTCCAGGTGAGCCTTTTCTTCACAGCAAGGGTGTGAATGGCACATGTGAAGTACCCTAAAGTGATCAAAGCAGGGCCACAAAGCAACAGGAATGCTGCATTAGGACCTCAGTAACACTTTCATCATAGCAGGAGCAATGCTAAGTACTGATAAAGAGCCTACAAATTGTTATTGAAGTAGGTGAGTCAAATCATAAAAACATCAAAAAGAAATATCCCGGGTTACATAAATAAGTACATTGGTAGTTTGTAACCTCTTTATGTGAAATGCTGTTTCCGCAACTTGGAATAAAAGGTGTTACTTTCAGCTTTATTCTGTCACTTATTTTTGTAACATACAAAAGCCACTAGTTTTAAAAATACTCCTTTGAGGGCCCATTCTTCTAAGCAATTAAATGTAGCAAGCCAAAGCAAATTCTGAGCTTTATTTTCCCCATCTATAGTGTAATGTAATCTATTTTGGAAATCGCTGGTCTCATCAGTGCTGATCGAGCTGAACTTGCATGGCCATTATCCTGATGTGCTTGCTCTAGATTCTCCCTCACACTTTTGCCCTGAAGCATGTAATGGCTATATGATGACTGCACAGTACGGTCCAATATGGAGTTCATGCCATGGTGAGCTTTCTAGAAAATTAGCTTGAGGTCTTACGTCTTAGTTATTGTCTGTGGTGTGAATTTATGAGTATTTATTTACAGTTAATAGTATGAAAAGAGATGAAAAATGTCCCATTGTTGGGAGTGCTGACCTTTTAAGCTAACAGGGTGTGTTGTTTTAGGGAATTGGTGTAGAACTAGGGGTCTCTGACCCTGCAAAAATTTGATTACAGTCAATATTTTTAACATTTCGGAATTAATACAGTTTGCGTCTTCAGATACACTGATGCATTTTATATCCATATAATAGTACAGAGTTCACCTGAAGACATGCGGCAGGGTGACATGGAGATGGCGCTCATTATAGCAGTCTAGGTCCATATGTTTCTGGAATTTTCTCTCAACATACAGCTGCCTGTGGAAGTTTATCTGTAGCCTTGCTCCTTATCTCTCCCCTCATCTTTCCATATGTCATGACTTTGTTTATCTTTTTCTTTGTGGTTTTTCAGTCTCTCTCATCTTTTTCTCTGTCTCTGTCTCTGTCTGTGTGTGTATATATTTATATGTTGTCATGGTAATTCCCTGTTCTGTCATGGAAATCCTGACAGTAGAACAAATCACAAGTTTTTTTATTTATTTAGGAAATGAAAGTGATATAGACCAGAGAGTAAAGAGATGAGAGTGCTCTGAAGCGTTCTCCCTTACATAGGGGTTTTATACCCCAAACTGGGTGTTGGCTAGGTACCAAATAAGGAAAGGGTTTGACAGCTGCTGTTATCAGTCTTTAGCACATTTCTGTTAATATAGCCATACAAAGTTGTGAGTACATGAGGGCATCTTCAGGTCATGCTGTACAGCATGACCAGAGATGCTCCGACTAGAATACCTTATGAAAGCGGAAGTACTGGCGGGTGCAGGATGGCTGACTGAGGTCAATCGCTATATGAGGATACTTCCTATTTTCATATCTAAGCAGCAAAGCACTTCTGTCAGTCAGAGGACGAGGTGTTTTGTCCATGACTTTTTGCCTGTACATAGTCTTACACTCTGAAAGCAATAAAGCAAATACAATTTCCATAACATTTCCCCTCTTTTGTCATGTAAATGATTACAAAATAGCAAATTAATTAAAGATAGATATGAGTAGGACTACTGTGCTAAGGCTGTTTTTACAGAGAGGACTACTGTGCTAAGGCTGTTTTTATAGAGAGTAGGAAAATATGTTTATAGCATTCTTCTGATGGTAAGGAGCACATCTCCGTCTTCTTCATCGGTGTCAGGCTCGGACGGACGGTCAGGCACCCAGTCAGGTGTGAGGTATAGGTCTGGTGGATCCACATAGGGGTTGTAGTCACCGTTGTTGGTGACTGTAAGCATCTGATATGTGTCTCGAATCCTTCTTCGTGAGAGCAGTCTCAATTAGTCTTTCCAGAAGTCGAATCTAAAGGTGGTTGTGTTTCCTTCTATAATGGTCAGGGTGAGCTCCTTCCCGTGATGTAAGTCTGTTGGTATCAACATTAACAATGCACTGAGCAACATATTTCGTCCTTTGAGCATCTGTTCATTCTTGGGGAATCAATCTGTCAGTATCTCTATCTACTGCACACTTTTGCACCTTAAACTGTGTCCGGAGAGTCTACAGGTAATGTTTCTAGGCGGTAAATGTGGTTCTGGCATATAGGGGTGAGCTTTTACCCTTCTCGATGTATTTTGGTGCTCAGAGTGCGGGCACGCCCAATCAGCACTCGTCCCACCTCAACGGAGCTCCAGCACACCCTCTTTACCACTGGAATGCGTCTTCAGTGAACAGATGTGGTGGGTTATTTCTTCACTGGGCCAGTACCCCAATTCCTATTACATGCAGGACCCCTCCACTGTGGCCAGGGCAAAGTCGACAAACTGAGACGTGATAGGTGTGCAGTCTCTCCTGTCTTTCCTTGTACTCTCAATTTATTATCTGGCTGTCTGTGAAGAATCTGATCTCCCTGGTCGCTGGGGTTTCTATCAGCCTATCTGTTACGTTGACAGCTGGGCAAAGGAGCTCGGATTCGGGAAGCACCCACACCAACTGATCGAGTGACATCTAGGAGGCTGAGGATTCTGGCTTTGGTACTCGTCTGCAGTGACTAGCGTGCACCCATGTAGTGCTTCATTCCACCTTTATAGCTGATTGGGTCATCAGAAGGACTTGGAGCGGTCCTTGCCACCTCAGCTTGTTCCACCTGCCTCGTCAGAAGTCCTTCACTACTACCCGGTCTCCTGGTTTCAGGTCATGTAGGGGATGTGCGGCTGGTCGGGAAGTGCAGCTTTCACCTGTTTGTGAATAGAGTTCAGAGTAGAAGACAAAGATGCACAATAAGACAACATTAGTTCATCACACATGACAAAAGTTTTGTGAGTAATTAGAGAACCCTTTTGTGAACCAATATTTCGTTACTGCTGCCACCATACCCCCTTTTGACGCATGGTCCTTCCCATGCATCAACTTAGCAAAGTAAGGAAACATGCATTTGGGTAGGCATGGGCGGCCCTCAGGGCACATCCACATGCCTTCCTTCTGAACATAACCTGCTCTCTTCCAAGTTGTCCGTTCCTCTGCTGTAGAACGTTTTTGCAGCTCAGTGACCTGCAAAGAAGGAGTTGGTGTTAAAACATCAGAATACATTGCAAACATTTCTTGGTTCTGAGCAGCTTGTTTTGCTGCTGCATTGGCTCTTGAATTTCCTAGGGAAACAGGGTCTGTTTTACATGTATGTGCATCACATTTACAAACAGTGATTTGTTTTGGAAGTTGGATAGCGTCCAGGAGAGCCGAAACAATGTGGTGGTGTGCAATATGTGTGTTTGTGCTAGGCTTGAAGTTTCTCTGTTTCCAAATTGTGCCAAAATCGCGAAGCCATAGCGGCTATCGGTATAGACGATTACAGACTTGCCCTCAGCATATTTACAGGCTTCAATGAGTGCCTTGATTTCTGCTGCTTGTGCAGACAGGTTGCCTGGTAGGGCACCTGACACAGCTGTTTCATGATCTGTTACTACTGCAAACCCTACTTTATTTTTGCCTGTTTAGGGGTCCCTTGACGCTGATCCATCCACATACAGGACAAGATCTGGATTGTGCAGGGGGACATCCTGCTGGTCCACCCTAGGAGTACAAAGGTTATTGGTAAGTGCCACGCAGTCATGTGGTTCTCCGTCCTGTTCTGTGGGAAGAAGAGAGGCAGGGTTAAGAGCTGTATATCTCTTAATTGTGATATTCAGCATATCAAGCAACACAGTGTTGTACCTTAACCACCTCTGTGTGGACAGATGTGACACTTTCTGTTCTGTGAGAAGCATGGAGACCTCATGTGGCACCAGCAAAGTAAGATCTGAATATCCTACCAGGTCTTCTGCAGCTGCTACTGCCCTGAGACATGGGGCCTGCTGCTACTAGGTCTAATTTGCTAGAGATACGCCACTGGTCTCAGTCTGTCCCCATATGTCTGCAACAGCACAGAGAGCATACATCCATTTTTTGTACAAATGGCTTGGTTGAGTTGGGTAGACCCAAAGTAGAAGTGGTCTGCAAGCCCCTTTTCATGTTTTCAAATGCTTTGTCAGCTTCTGGGGTCCACTGGACCTTTGAGGAAGCTGTGAGATTTGGGGCATGCGCAATTTCTCTAATTGGTGCCTCTAGGAGGGAGTAATTTGGAATGAATGCTCTACAATATGAGCACATGCCTAAAAATGAGAGTACCTGTTTCTTGGTACTAGGCTTTGTAGAATCTTTTGAATGGCAGAAAGTCTGTCTGTAGACAGTTTCTTCCCTTCTGCTGAGATGTCATGCCCTAGGAACCTGACTGATCTGTGGGTGAACTGCAGTTTAGAAAGGCTAGCTTTGTGGCCCTCTTTAGCGAGGTGTTGCAACAATGCCACAGTGTCTCGCTCACACTGTTCTCTATTTGGCGCACAGATCATCAAATCATCCACATACTGCAAAAGTGTGATTCCAGGCGTTAAAGATAGTGAATCTAGGCTGTGTTTGAGTGTCAGATTATAAATTGTGGGGCTTTCACAATATCCTTGGCATAGCTGAGTAAATGTATATGGTTTCCCGTCGAACGTAAAGGCTAAAAAAAAACTAAAATTGACTGTCTTTGTGGAGGGAAACACCAAAGAATGCGTTGGCCAGATCGACTACCGAATCTCCAGGAACTTGACTTAGAATTGTGTATGGGTTTGGTACGTCTGGGGCTCTTTGTACCACGGCCGAATTTACTGCCTGCAGGTCTTGAACAAACCTCAATTCGTCGGGTTGAGGAGGTTTTCGGGCCCTTTTTTTAATTTCTTTTTTTTTTAATTATTTATTTTCTTTTATTTATTTATTTTTTTTATCGGGAAAATTTCTGGTATTTCTGGAACCTTGGTGGTTTAGCTAGGGAGATATGTGGGGCTGAGTGTTCCACACAAAACATTTGCTTCTGATTACACTCACAATTAAGCTCATCTGATCCAGTCAGCAAGCAAATATATTGAATTAATACAATTAATACAATTTCCATAACAATGTGTGTATATGTGTGTATATGTGTGTGTGTGTGTATATATACACACACACACATATACACATACAAGGTCATGTCAGCAACATGGAACATTTCCTGATTTCTTCTAGTTTCCTTACTTTTGAGACCTGTGGGTGTGTGTGTGTGTGTTTGTGTATATATACTGCTATCAGACAACAGATTCTGCAGTATCCAGGCTAGAATAACCTGGCTTGTGAACAGTTTCTACCCACAGGCTGTCAGGCTTCTGAACAAGCTGTGAAGCTGTGTGTCCCTCCCCATTACCATTTCACTCTATCACTTTGTTAGTATTATTTATTATATTGTATATCTGTTACGCACAATAACACTAAGTCACTTTAAAATGTGTGTATATATTCTTCTCAGATTATCCCTTGTTTAATATATTTGTACATAGTGCAGAGTTTTTCTTACATAGGTCCCTCCTTTCTCTGTATATTTTGTGTATGTTTATTATATTTCAGTTTTAGTATTTTCTTTTTGTATTTTTACTTTTTGTATGTACTGTTTTTAGTATGTATATTATGCTGCCATGCTATAGAGTGATTAACTGTGCCTCACCACAAGCATTTCAATGCATGAATGTCCTGACATGTTGGGCATATGACAAATAAAACATAGTGGAACTGGTGAGTGCTGAAGTACACAATGTGCAAAAATTGTTTGTCCTTGTCTGAGTTCCAAGCTGCTTCTGGAAGTAATGTCAGCACAAAATCTGTTCTTTGGAAGCTTCATGGGTTGGGTTTCCATGAAAAGCAGGTTAGTTTTATAAGCCACACTCAAGTCTAAAATCACCATGTACAATGCCAAGAGGTGGCAGGAGTGGTGTAAGTCACAACGTCTTTGCACTCTGGAGCAGTGGAAATACATTCTTTAGTATGATGAATCAGGCTGGTTTTCTGATGTATGAATCTGTGTTTGGCAGATACCAGGTGAATGCTTAGTATACTATAGATGTGTAGTACCAGCTGTAAATTTTGGTAGAGGAGGAATAATAGTCTGGGACTGTTTTTCATGGTTTGGGCTGGGACCCTTTGTTCCAGTGAAGGGAAATCTTGGCGATATGGCCAAAAATGTTATCATGATAAACAAAATTCATATTGTTCGATATCGATACATACCGCAATAAATGTCAAATCATTATTTCTTTCAAGTTTGAAGGCTGATTTTTGCTCCTGGGTGGTTAATTACTGTTTTAAACTATCCTTTATGGTTGGAACATGACAAACACTCACCAAACAGTGGAACATTTCACAAATCTGTCATGGGAGAGTGGGAGAAAGTGTCTGCTGAGCTGTTTTTACCAGCTGGAAAAGCATGGCTATTTTGTAATAGTCATAATTTAAGAAAGAAAACAGATTATTTTTAGCTGGTGACGAGCGCTCGGCTACCCCGCTACAAATGACATCACAGTATTCAAACACCAGCTAGCGATGACTGGATATTCAATTGTAGTAGTTTAAGTGGTGAACCGCAAAATATCAACACTAGACAAACAGAGTCCTCCTTTTAGGTATGTTTAAACTGAAATCGGTGCTTTTGTGTCATGTTTGATCTACAGTATCATCAATTCTCCGTGTTTTGGAGTGACAGAGCGCTGCTTCAAGTTAGCCAGCTGCTAAAAACAGCTAGCCTGGAAAGATAGCGCTCTCCTGCTCTCAAAGCCTCACAGCTTCCTCAGTTTACTTTCATTTAAATCGGAGCTGTAATTTACATGAACCCACTTCTTTCTTTCACTTTCGTTGCTTGGGAATGCACTAATATTAAAATATGACTGCCCGAGCGCTGCAACAGCACTTTAGTTGTAAGGATTGTGATTTAACGCTGCTGAAGCTGGTTGGGATGTACAGAAAGAGGTGAGTTTGCTGTAGGTCAGTACAGTTACACCACTGACCTCGTCACTCACACTCAGTCACAGGAGAACAGATCGTCGGTCGCTCCACTCAAACAGGGAATGTATAACTCCGCGTTTCAGCCGTTGCTAAAGACTCATCTTACTCGTGGCCCCCTCCCTCACTAATCATGTAGAAAAACTCGGAACCTCTCCTGGCGACAGCAGAGTAGTGTCGCCTTCCTTGCAGTAGAAAACGCCTGGGAGTATGAGAGTGGTGTATTATATCGAACATTTATCGAACATGTCGTATCGCTCTATCGAGGAAAAGTTAAATCGCGATAATTATCGTTATCGTTTTATCGCCCAGCCCTACTAGAAAACTGTGTGCTTCCATCTTTGTGGCAACAGTTTGGTGAGGGCCTTTTCTTTTTTCAGAGTGACAATGACCCTTTGGAAAAGGAAGGTCCGTGAAGAAATAGTTTGCCAAATTTGATGTGAAAGAACATGACTGGCCTGCACATAGCCGTGTAATCAGCCCCATCTAACACCTTTGGGGTGAACTGGAATGTCAGCTGTGAGCCAGGCCATCAGTACCCAACCTCACTAAAGCTGTTGTGGCTGAATGCAAAATCTAGTGTAAAGCCATCCCAGAAGAGTGGAGGCAGTTATGACAGCTAAGAGGGGACTTACTCCATACTAATGCACAGGGTTTTGAAATGAGATGTTCATTGAGATGTCATAACACTGTGTACCTTTAGATATGGTCCTATTAGTAAACAGCTGCTCAATTTATTTTTATTGTGCTTCACAGTTGTTTATGTTTCCTATGCTGCTGGTGTGTAGGGCAATGCCACAGATAATACATTAATGAACTTCAGTAATGAATTCATAGTTAATCACTTCTGCCTCAACATATTAGTCATCAGCAGTTTCTGTAGGCAAAGTCAGTACCACATTACTGAACTGCGGTCTTCGCAAATATAATTTGACTGTTGATACTTTGATATTTGTTTAGGAACATGCTATTTTAATTTGATTTTTACCCAATTATCTCCCCAATTTTGTCGTTTCCAATTCCACCCGCTAGTTAGGACTCCCCCAGTCACACGATGCTATCAACGCTAGGAGGGTGAAGGCTAGCACAGGCTTCCTCCGAGACCTGTGAAACCAACCACCGCTTCTTTTCGAACTGCCGCTCATGCAACGTCACTGGACAGCTGAACGCGCTCGGAGGAAAGCGCCAACCGCCAGATCTGTTACGTCAGCTAACAGACGCCTGCGCTGACTAGCATCGCGTTGAGTGATGGGGGGAGAGGGAGGGGCCATCTTACCCACCCAGAGAGAGCGAGGCCAATTGTGCTCTCTCGGACTCCCGGCTACGGATGGCTGCAGCATCACCAGGGATCGAACTCGCGATCTCCTGATGATAGGGCCAACGCTTAGACGGTTGCGCCGCTCGGGAGCCCTATTGATTTTTTTTTAGTTATACAGAGGTCATGAACTAGCTTTCTGGTTCTCTTTGAATGTTAGATTTGCCTACGTTTCGATGATACATATTTTAGTAGCCAGCTAGCTAGCCTTTTACAAATAATGTGTGACATAAATTGAAAACCTTAATATTCTGAAATATACATAAATGCCTTTTACATGAAATTTTGTTAAGAAATAAGCACGTTACAGCTGGGTTTAATATCACACGTGTACTTGTTTTTAAGTGCATCTTGTTCAATCCAATATGGAAGATGGACTAATGATGATGTGTAG